AATAGGCACCCAAAAGGTGCACGTGTGGCTAGTTGTATCTTTATTGTAACTGTAATAACTAATAATTACTAATAAAAAGTCCCCAGGCCAAGGAGGTCATCTTAATACCGAAAAAAAAAAAAAATAAATAAATATTATCTTTAATTGTTTCAATATCAATTATATTATATAATTCAGTTAATTGAAGTCTAGAATATCTATAATAAAATAAATTATTTATAGATTTAAAATTATACTATTAAATTAATACTAAATTAAATATTTTAGCTTCTAATTTAATTTTTGCTAACAAGTATATCTAAAATTTTTTTTTCCTTTATTAATGCCAAATTAGAAATAAAATAGTATAAAAGATAATATATCATGTTAATATAAAACTAAGCTAAATATAAATTTCTAATTAATTATATAATTTCAATGCAATAAGCTATACTATTACTTGCAACCTAAATTGTTACTAAATTTTGTATAGCATAATACCTCTTATTTTTCTATTTATAAGCTATCTAGACAATTTCCATTAGATTTAGAAGACTAGAGATAACCTAAGTTTATATAAGTATTTAATTAGTTAGTTAAAAGAAGAGAAAAATAGTAAAAAATAAAGAAAATAAAAAAAAAGATTCAAGTAAAGGTTGATATAAATTAAAATAAAAAATATGATAATTTAGAGTATGTGATAAAAGGATGAAATGAAGCTAAAAAAAGAAGAAAAATGAAAGAGACTAAGAGGATTAGTTAGTTATTGAAGGCTGAATAGATTGTATAGTTTTGAAAGTACTATTTTGAAATATAAGAATCTATATTGTTGTTAAATTGAGTTGAAGATTTGGAATAAGAGGAGTTTTGTGTAAAATATAATTTTTTTTGTTTGGTTTTGAAGGTAATGCCATGAGCTAGTTCCTATTTATGTTGTGACTCATTTTTTGTTAGCCAGATATCTTTTAAAAACTATTCTAGAAGATTGTTTAAAAGTAGAGTAATAAAGTTTATTGTATTACTTTTTAAAAATTGGTATAGTGGTTCAAATATATTAGATATAATTGTGCTTTGAATTATTAATAGTAGTAAAAAAGCAGGTTAGTAAGGAGGTTTTAAGATTATATTTAATAGAGTTTGAGCAGAGATGTTTTCAATTTGTAGTTTTTGTTTAGTTAAAAGTATATTATTTAAGAGTGTTTGAGTAAAATTGATTTTGAATTTCAGGCAGTTAAATAGATATAAAGTATTTTCTAATTGGTTGCATTTTGTGCAATTAGATATAATATAAAATAGGATAGCAGAGATTTAAGTTTTCTATAGTTGGTAGATTGTTTAGTATAATTTTGATTCATAGTGAATAGAGATAAGAATTATAGTTTTAAGAGTTAATTATTTTAAAAAGGAGTTAAATATTAGGTTTAGATATAGAAGTTAAATTTTTTAGTTAGAGGATATGGTTAATAGATTGAAGATTAAGAGTTGCTTTTATAAATTTATAAAGTTTGAAGATAATAATAGTTTGTTTCTATGAGAAGAAAGAAGAAGGTATGAAGTAGTTAAAGTTTATTTGTATATTATTTTTATCTGTGGCTGCTTTTGCTAGTAAGCTAGTATTTTGAAGTATGTTGTTTTGTAATTCAGCTTTGTGTAGAGTAATACTAACATTATAGTTTGTTATTAAAAAGTTAATAGCATGTAATATATTCTAGTTGATTTGAGTTGTTTGATGATAAAGGAGATTTTGGAGATTTTAAATTGTAGAAGAATTGTTTGTATATATATGTATATTGTAATTATTAGATATTATAAGAAAAAAAAAGAGAATAGATTTGGTTTCTGCATAAATAATATTTTGAATATTTTGAAAGACTGTATTAAATTTGATTTGTGTATTATTTTCTAATATTTAACCTATACTAGCTACAATTTTGGTGTTAGTAAGTTTATAATTGTTGAATTTGAAAAAAAGTGTAAGTTGTTTAAGAGAGTATCATGAGGTGATTATATAGATTAATTAATTTTATTTGGTATGAATATGTTAAGACTATGTTTTTAATTTGCTCAGTTATTAAATTAAAGATAAGAATTTGTGATTGGTAATTAGGTGAATTATTATGAAAAAAAGTTAAATAGAGTTGGGATAAAGCTTGAATTTCTAGATAGTCAATAGATAATTTAAACAAAAGAGATTGGTTTTGATACTGTTTTTGGCTTTTGTATACAAGATTAATTATATTTTTAGAAATTATTTTAAGTATTTGAAAGGATAGCATTAGAATAGTTTGACTTAAGCTACTAAAGTCAGAGGTATATTTTTCTAAAGTAAGTTGGTTGGTAGTATAAATAATTATTTTTTCTATAAATACTTGTATAGATATAGAGTAGATAATTTAACTATTTTTTTAAGAGATAGTTAGAGAAATAGTAATTAAATTAAGTATATTTAGAAATAGGTTTATAGATTCAGTTTGGATATCTGTCCAGTATGTGTTTATAGATTGGCTTTAGGTTGTATTTTGGAGAAACTTAAACCAGAAAGATGTTCTACCTCTGGTGGGTTTATTGGTACACAGATATATATTGTTTTATAGTAATAAGTATTTATTGTCTAATATTAGAAGTTGTTCTAAAAATAATATTTTGTTGTTTTGAAGGCTTTTAATAGTAGGAGAGTTTGAAGAGAAAATAAAATTATATATTAAATTTAACTTATAGTATAATAATATGTTTGGATTAATATTTAAGTTATTAATATTAATGTTTTGGTTTTTTAATTAAAAAAGATAAAAAATAGAAGTGAAATTGTTAAAGTTTTTTGTGGATTGTGATAGTAATAGTTGCCATGTTTTGGAGAACCATTCTTTAATTCTATATTTAATAATTTGTTTAAGAAGAGAAAAAAAGTTAATTGTTTTTTCGATAATATTACAGCTAGTATATATATTAAGCTTTTGTATTGTGAAAGTATTGAGTAAAAGAGAATTTGTAAGCAAGTTATTATTTGTGTTTAATGAGAGTTTTAAAGATTTTTTGAATTGTTTAGTAAAAAGAGAAGAAAGTTTTTTTGTTTGTTGAGCTATAATAGTAGCAGCTTGAAGAAGATTTTTTTTTTTTTTTTTTTTTTGATATTAAGGTGATCTCCTTGGCCTGGAGACTTTTTATTAGTAATTATTAGTTATTACAGTTATAATGAAGATACAACTAGCCACACGTACACCTTTTGGGTACCTATTTAAGTAGTCCACTCACAGGTTCTACACTAGATATCATACCTATAACCCAACTAGGGAGTTACTCTTTTAAACCTTCTGATCCTAACTATATTTATAACCTATCATACTAACTCGGGAACTACCATCTGGCTCGTTTCTCTAAATTTTGCACTTTGCCTTAGGACTTTTGTGATTTAGCCTAGGTTTGCACTGACTAATTACCGGCTTGTATTCCTCCATTGAGCAAATGCACAACTATCCATGAAGTAAACCTACCAGAGCTTTCTCTATTCCATTTTGAGCCAACCTGGTTTTGTGTAGTTGCCGAGGCTCTTACTTGCAGTTGGGCTATTACCTATTTAACTGCTTTTGCCTTTATAAGGTTTGCTTTCCAATCTTAATACCCATATTCAAACCTTTTCTTTTTCTATTATTTCCTTATTAGTCTATCCTTTACTTCCAACTGATAATCCAGAAGATTCGACCTTGGCTTGGCATTAGGTGCCTGGTGACCTTGTCTTATCTTGGTACATGATTTCCCAGCACATGTCCTTTTCCTCCAGTTTGGTTGGCTGGTCCTCTAGACATGCCCAGCATTTTTCTGTCTAACTGGTTTCTCGCCCAACTTCCATAGCCCCTGGTCTTGGTAGGTAGGGCCCCCACCACTGGTTTCCCATGCCAGCTGGCCAGGGTTGGTGTACTTCGTAATGGCCTTACAGATTTCTAGCTTTTTTAAATTGGCAGTCAGGTTGGTAAATCCCTCCTACTAAAGGATCTTGTTGTTATTTGGTTCTCCAATCTCAGTCCTAACAGTATAGAAATTGTTGTAAACTTCAGCAATACAATAATATTATTTGTTTATATTGTAAAGAAAAAAATATAGAATGCAAACATACAATTCTAAAAACTCAAGCTGAATTTGAAATTTTAAAAGATTTAGAAGTCTCATATTGTAAAGGTCAATATGAACTAACAATGCAAAAACAATTTCATGAACAATTTTATTTTCAATTTAAAGAAAAAGAATGCCAAACATTTTCATCAATTAAGAGTAGGGTGTATGTAGATCAATTTTCATATGATCTACATGATATATTGAATTTTTACATAGTAAACAAAAAAGTTCTTCTAATAAAACTCTTCAATACCTTAACCAATTTGTATCAAATTTATAAAATATGTAGTTTAAAGTAGTTTGTTTATAATAATAAAGTTGTACAATACATATTAGTTTAAAAAAAATTAACTTTACATATAACTAAAAATTTCTCTGGATGCTATATGTTTTCTCCTGGTTATACAAAGTATTGCTAATTATGATTGGTCAAATCACATGTTATTTACATGTAAATCATATAATACTATATGATATTAGTTACACAATATTGATCTACAATCTATTTTATATAAATTTGGAAATAGTTACACCCTACCCTTAAAAATCATATTTTCAAATATCATGCTATAAATTTTTCAAAATTTTTAAATGATGATTCTCAACAAAATCAAGCATATTTTGGCAAACCTTAGAATAGATATAAAGAACCAAAACATATGAAAAAATGTCACTATGATTTTTTGGTACACAAAAATATTTGTAATATATGTGATGAAAGCTGTATTATGAAAAGAACTTGGGCACAATGGACTGATCTAGGTGGAAATTTATTACTACAAGAAGTAGTTGGTCTCTGGGAATTTGGTAAATATAAATATCTAGTACTATCCAGAGACCAATCTGATTTGTATGAGAAATATCAAGAAAAACAATTACAAATTTATGATGCAGAAATCGATATAAATAATATGCTTTTAAATAGTGTAACACTTTTAGATGTGGTTAAAAAGAATAAAGATATTGTTCTTTTTAGCAACAATTTATTTCAAGTGAAATTAATAGAAACTGAAATTGCTAAAGAAAAAAATAAAAATCAACCAAAAAGATTTTGGCATCCACTAATATTTTATTTTTATGGTAAGGGTGGGGCAGGCAAATCAAATCTTGTTAAAAAACTATTTGGTTCAGAAATGTTCTTAAAGAAGAAGAAGCAAAGATCTGGTTCTAATTGATGGAATGGTTATAATAATTACTTGATAGTTTTTTTTGATAAATGGTATACATGTCTCGATTGGAATGATATAGTTAAATATTTAAATGATACTGACGAGTCTGTTGAAATTAAAGGGAAAAGGTTTGTTTTTTTTTTTTTTTTTTTTTTAATATTAAAGGTGACCACTTAGGCCATTGGCATGAGCTTTATTTCGGATAGTTAC